ATATAGAATATAAATGCACATCATGATTCTTGCTGCTTATGATCTGTTTCTAAATCAATCTTTGGATACTTATATTTTATCAACTCACAGTTGAAGGAGATGGTGTTGGCACTTTTGCATGAATCGGATCTGGTTCTTTCAGAAGATGCTGTTGAAACAATTGTGGATAAGGTGCACATAACTCCAACCTGTCAACTATCTGATCCATTCGTATTCGGTGTGGACAATTCTGAATCTCTTTCTTTCATCTTTTCCACAGACATTTAATGAAGCAGACACACAAGGCGATGGAAAAATTGATTCAGAAGAGTGGAAGGAATTTGTATCAAAGCATCCATCTCTTATAAAGAACATGACGCTTCCATATCTAAAGTGAGTAGCAAGTGTTATGACAAGTTTTGCTGACTTTCTGACAGTGACAGTATTTTCTGGCACATTTTCTCTTCTCTTTTTTTTTTTTTTGTTTTTTCTACCCGTAATTCTAGCCTCTTATAATCTCGTTTGTCTAATTTTGAAGATGACCCTAGTCCTAATTCATAAATGTACTTACCTCACCATAGTCATGGAGTAGAGTAAATTGCTGAGTTTTAAGTGGGTTGTTTTGTACCACAGTTCTGGTTATATGCTTGGTACTGATCTCCCTTGTGGATTCTGTCTTGCAGGGATATAACCCTTGCGTTCCCCAGCTTTGTGGTCAGGTCTGAGGTTGAGGAGTCAGAAATTTAGGCTTAACGCTGAAGCTAAAAGGGTATCTTAATCATGCCTTATCCTATACTGTGGGAGACGATTCAGAAGAACATCAGATTTTGTGTTACCTCGTCATGAAGAACATTATCTAGGAAGAAGAGTTTAGGAACCCCTGGGCGGCAGGCATGAAGCACGATCGAGTTCACAAGCTGCAACCTTATTCTGCCGTCATCAGGTTGTTAAATATTCTTCCAATGTGGCGGGTTCCGTACAGAGTTGTAGATATGTTCTGTCAATGTACATTGTTGTCGCGCATCAGAGATTTTGTGATAAAATAGTTTGAAGAGATATATTTGCAATCCTAAATCCTGGAATCGAACTAACACTTTAAGACAGATTGATTATTCCCTCTCCAAAGTGAAAGGATGATGAGGCAAAAACGAAAAGCAATACTAAAATAAAAATGTGGGTTCGGTCTCACATTGTGAAACTTCCGTATCTGTTTAGACAATTAGAACCCTAGTTATGGCTAATTAATTTTTGGTCAAAACAACGATTAGGCTGCCTAACCTTGTCTGTTTAGAGTGTTTGAAATCATTAAACCTTATTAGAAAATTACCAAAAAAAAAAAGGAAAGGTGAAGCAAAAGCTCCAACCTCCAACTTGTGCTTTTTCAGTATTAGCTATGAAATTGCAGGCATCCTGTTTCAGAGGTGATGCCATTTTTTCCAGGAAAATACTCTTCTTTCCATGTTCCTCGCCTTTGGTCTGCTGTGTCTCATCTAAAGAAACCCATTGCCATAGCCCGACAAGCTTAAGGTTAAGATCCAGGTTTGCATTTCTTCGAAAAGGCTTTGAGGCAACAACATCGGCACGACAATGCATCAAGCTGGCGAGCATGTTGTCTCGACCATCCCTGCGCCTCTATTATGCCTTTGCCTCAAATCAGAGCGTGGCATCCTACCTAGACGACCTTACCTTAAAATGGATTCAACTATTCTTTTCCCTTCCCTCGTTGAATACCTCGGAAACTTCTCACCCAAGGACAAGCTTTATGAATTGTTCCCGATAACAAGTGAAGGAAAAGTTCTTAGTACAAAAGAGTTGCAAATGCAACGGTCCACATGGTCTTTGATCAAGATCATGAGCTAAGAAAGATAGTTGCAATAATTAACCAAAAAAAAATAGCTGAAGAAAGTACGTAATCTATCCCCTTTAAATGGACTGAATTGACACCACATGAACTTCAACTGTAGAAAATCTTGACTATTCAATCCCATTAACCTTTCCTCTAACAACTCCTCCAACTGGTCCCAAGTCCCAACCCATCCGACCATGCTTTCTAGGTAAAACTCTGCATCCCTGTCATTACACATGCTGCCTAATTTTTCCTACCCATCTTCAATTTCTTTTCTTTATTCACTTTAATAACTTGGGTACATTTCTTTGTGCAAAAATCATTTAAATTTCCCATAAAATTCTTCATTATGTTGATATTTGTAGGCATTGAATATTGCTCATTATCCTAAATTATCTAATGAGACTGCTATTTAATTACTTTTGATATTAAGGAAGCGCAGTTTGAAAATGACTAAATATTATCATTGTTTCTTAAATTTTCATATTCCTTCATCAACGTGACAACATCAAATTAAAATTGACTCGCACATTTGAAATTTGTAGGCCAAAGTCAATTCCCAAAAGAATAATTTAACCAAGACATTTCCAGCTTCATGATTATCCTGTGATCATCATAATTAAAAGCCTTGATTAATTTAGAGGGCGGAAATCCGCTACAGTGATCAAACTTTGGTATGGTGTAATATTATAGTTGTCACGTTATTATTGGCCAGGTTGGAGTTATGGTCAGCGATCACACCGAAGCGGGATGTCCACATCTGTTTAGGAAGACAAAAGCTATTTAACTTTTGTTGAACACAAAAGAGTACAACACGTGGCGTACCGACGGTGAATCTGTTTAGGAACTTTGGTTGCTTCTTAAGCACTAAGGATTCTGTCTTGTCATTTTTTTTGTCTCTTTTTTCTTATTCGATAAGATTACGAAAATTGAAATTTTCTTTCTTCTAAAATTTCCAGAGCAAGAATCCACGCGCCTTCAGGGCGGTGGAATAAGCTGTTTGTACTATCATACATGGTCCTAGATTTCAGTGGTCCGACAAACATCAACTTTAACGTGGTTCTTTGTAATAACATTGTAACTTTTCTTTTTTTTTACTAATTTAATTTAAAGATTTATATTTATACACAAATAATATATATATTTTTATATACTATCAAGTCATCAAAATATGATATTTTATTAATAAAATAAAATTAAAATTTATTAAAAATTTAAAATTAAATTTTAATAATTATTGTAAAAAAAAAAAAAAATTTTTATCTAACTTCCTCTCAACTATTCTTTTCTTTCTTTTTTGTTATCTTTTTTTAACTCCATTATCTTCTTCTTCTTTTCTTCTTTCATTAAAAATAAATTTAACAAAATTATACAATTTCAAAAGCCATGATGGTTAAAAGGTTTTACTTTCTCTCTAAACTCATGGAGCTCTATTCCATGAGTTCTTTTTCTTTGCACTATTATCGTCTTTACTTATTCTTAGATCTAGACATAGGATGATTACAAATATAGTATAACATACCTAACTTATGTCTAATACCATAAGAACTAATCAAAATAAAAATTTTACATGTCTCATGTTTTAAGGAATCAAAACTGTTAAATCAATCAATAAATACTCTTTAAAAAAAATCTATCCATGAGTTATTTTATTATAAAACATATAAAAAGTAATACCCCACTATGATCCTATGAAAATAACTAATTGAATCGATAATAAAAATATAGATTGACGACTCTTAATCTTGAATCTCACACTCTAAATTGAAAATTTTATTATCGATTTTAAATCTTAATCAATCACATGTAAAGTAAAGGTAAATTTGAATAAATTTTTGATTGTTTAAAGAAAACACAAGAAAGGTTAAAAGGAAAGGTGGATTGGAGTTTAGAGAGAAAGTTACTCATTCATTTTGCATTTTAAATCCGAAAGAATAAAACAATCTTAAATTGAAAAGAAAAAAAAACAATATCTTAAAGATTTAAAGATTTTTTTAAGAGGCATGGAAAATCCATGAAAATTTTTGAGATAAGAAAGGCTAGAGAGAAAGATGGAAGAGATCTTAGAGACAGTAAAAATTTTTTTAATTTTTTATCTCATTAAATGTTAAAAAAATTTTACTATTTAATTTTAGATCCTTAATGAATTTTGGTTTTATCTTATTAATGAGGTAACATGTTTTGGTGATTTGATAGTATATAACTTACATACATTTTTAGTGCACCAAATATAAACCCTTAATGGTGCTAATTTTTTAATTCTCATTAATTTTAACTCTCTATTTTAGATACATAAAATAATATTTATTAATGTCAATAATCTCATTCAACGATTTTTTGTTTTAAAAAAATTAATTATTAGAGAGATTTAATAAATACCATAAAATCAAATACCTTATATTATTCGATTTGATTAAATAAGATCAAGGTTAATCAACTTTCAATAATAAAACTACTAACGTTATGAGTTTAGGTGTGGTTCCAACAATGATGTTAAGGTTCCATAGACTCGATTATAAATAAAAAATTTGTAATAAAAAATTTTAATTATATATTATTTTTATTTATTAATTTTTTGGCTGTTAATGTAATCCTTACTAAAATTCATTAACCATTCTTTAAAAAAATCATTAATTGCTCTAAATATGATTTTAAACTTTAATTTTATTTTTTATAAACTAACTTTAACTTAGTAATTTAATTTCCATTAATAATTATAAAATTAACTTTAATTTATTTTAGTTAAGAATTTAACAGATAATGTCTAAGATATTAAAATATGAATTTGAATAATAATTTTATTTTTAATTAAGTATTTATAAAATTTAAACTCTTAAATCTAGTAAATTATTGTTTATTTGATTTTACTATTTTTCTAAACAATTTATCTCAAAATCCTTTATTTACGAACACTAACAATAATTTATTTCTTAGGAAAAAAAACTCCAACGAACATGACTATAACAAGCATATCATAACAACAAAAAAAAGAAAAAAAAAACAATTATCCATCGCTTTCCCAGTTTTTCCCTCATCTCTTCACGCCCAAGGGTTAGCGCGTGATGAAAGAAAATTGAGCGTCCAAAAATTTCCAAAGTTGAATGATTAATACCTACTTAATTAAAGCTTAAATTAATTTATTACTAATAGTTTCTTCTCTTATCTTATCGGCTCTCATTGAATGCACATTTCAAGTCCAATGCTTTCACTTGAATAGATCTCTCTCTCTCTCTCTCTCTCTCTGCCATTACCAAATCATCAAAATCCCACAGAATCTAACTCCATTCAATTCCTTCTTCTTTTTATCCTAGTCCAAATTCTATTGGTTAATTTAAGTTTCTTTTTTCCTGAAAGAAAAAACGTTCTTATGGCCGATCAGCTCAGCTTAATATGCAGGTAATATTCGAACCTATTTCTTCTGGAAATAAACTAAACGAAAGAAAAGAAAAAGTTGCACTTTCCTTTTTCTGCTACTTTCAAATTTAGTTTAGTTAATTAATGATTAAAGGGAAAAAGAAAGAAAGAAAGATGTGGTTTTCGCGGAAAAAGTGTGGATTCGGTGCAGTTCAGTAGGCTGTGATCGGATCCACTGGATTATTTCTCGTGATGCTGGGAGCTCTGTTAGGAAGTTGTTTCTTGGAGTTTCTTAGCAGGTAATGGCTGTCTTAAGTGTTTTTTTTTTTGCATTATTTTTATTATTAGTAACCTTTTGTTTTATAACTAATCCCTGTTCCGGTTGCCGAAAAAATTATGGAAATGAAGAGTGAATCCTGAAATGAGGCCGTTTGCTGGGTTTGATTTTTGTTAGATAAGGAATAAACAAAAAAGAGATTTTAGTAAATTGAAATAACATTTTAGAATAACTTGAACCCTTTAGCTGAATAGTTGAATTTGCAGGAAAAATAAAATGCAACTTCACATTCTTGAATTCTTGATGATGTTTTCAATTTATTTATTAGATAGTTCCTTTTTGTTTTCTTTCTTTCCTTAATGTGTATGCTCTGTTGTAATTTGAATCAATAGGAGTTCCTTCAATTTGTAATGCAATCAGTTGATGACAGTAAAGAAAAGAAGAAGAGTTTGAAACGATCAAGATCATTGTCCCCTCGGGATATGCCTGTGACCGACTGCACTGCTATGCAAACTATTGACGATTGCATTCTTTTCCCTGTTGAAGAGATAGTTCAATCCCCACTGCCTGGATATGTAGCGCCTACATCTGTTAGTTTTAGTCCAGATGATAGTTTGATAGCTTTTCTATTTAGTCCTGATCACACTTTGAGTAGAAAGGTTTTCACTCTTGATCTCAATGCTGGCAAGCAAGAGCTATTTTTCTCTCCCCCGGATGGTGGACTTGATGAGAGTAATATATCACCGGAAGAGAAGCTGAGGAGAGAGAGGTCAAGGGAGCGTGGCCTGGGAGTCACACGTTATGAATGGGTGAAGACTATGTCCAAGAAGAAAACTATTATGGTGCCTTTGCCTGGAGGGGTATGTTAAAGAATTCCATCTATTAATTTGAATTTACTGTTGCGAAGGCTTATTTAGTTCACTTGTATTGTTTAATCCTTTAAATGGTGTCTCATATGATTTATTGTAGCCTTTTCATTACAAAACATAAGAGTTATTCCCCAAAGTCTTAGTAATTTGACATTCGATTTTTGTTTTTTGATAAAATTTGTTGTAATCTAAAATATACTTAGAAAATTACTCGAACCAATGAGGGTGACTTTGCTATATCAGTAATATCGCTCATTCAACAGAGTACTGCCTTCAAGTTTTCCTCTCTCCCTCTCTCTTTTAATTTGGGGTATCAGGGCATGTTTCTAAGTGCAATAACATATAATTGAGGTGAAGGAAGTGTGTTTCTTTATTTGTTCCTAATTTGGACTGGTGGAGGTTGTGTCAGTTGATACCTTTTCTTCATACTTCATTGACCACAATTTGCCAATTTTGCATACTGGATTAGAGATGCTACCATGATGCTGGATAGTAGGTTCCCTTGTGTTATTTCCTTCACTCTCTCATACTCATTGTTTATACTGATACAACAAATTTAAACACTATCATCACACCTCAACCTTTGTAGCACCACTTTAATACCTCCAGCACTGTGTTCACTCGCTAACTGGTCAAAACTATATACCCTCCACATTCAACTTTAGCTTCAGTTATTACTAAATATTCCCAGTTGTTGTGTGAATTAGCTGGCCAAATAGCATTATTTCTCTGCAATGTAATCATTTCGTGCAGATCTTCTACCACTTTATCCAATTCTTGCTAATGACATACAAATTAGAAATTTTGTTTTCACTGGTAATTTGGTTTCTTCTCCTTGGCAGATTTATTTCAAGGAGTTTTCTGGTTCAAAACCAGAGCTCAAGCTTCCAAGCATGCCATCATCACCAATCATCGATCCGCATCTTTCCCCAGATGGCACTATGCTTGCTTACATAAGAGATTATGAGCTGCATGTTCTGAATCTCTTGTGCAATGAACAAAGACAATTAACATTTGGCGCCAATGGGGACATTCTGGTAAGTTTATATTACCCGTATCTATATGCAGTGGAATTTTATTGTTTCACTTCTCTGGATGTTCATATATTTTCAAGAAGTTTTCTTTTCTTTCTCTCTTTCCTCATGTATGGCCCTGATTGCGAAGGGAAGGGGGTTGGGGGGAGAGGGGAAAGTTTGTGTAAAGGAGAAAGTATGTGAATTTTTAATGGTGCAATCTATACAAGGTCTTGGGGGCCATCTAGAATAAGCCACTTTATATATGACTTGAAACAAGTGGTATACGTATACCACTTTGCTCCAGTCAGTTGATCAACTACTTAGGGTCCAAATAATTGCTCTGGTCTATGCTTATTTAATTTCTCTTTTCCTTTTACCTTGGTGCTTCTTGTCAGCCAGAGCAATGATTGTTGATAGCAGCACTGCCTGTAAGGAAGCAGATCAACCTGTAAAAGTTGCTCTGGCACAATGCCAATTCATTAACTACATTATACAGCTTAGAAATCATCTGACAACTTTTCCTGCTATTCATAAAAACTATTCAGTGCAATAATTTCGAATACATTAAGCTCCAGATTGTCAAAACAATTCAACAAGACTTTTGAATTTGTTGGCAGTCAAGTTTTTGGCTTGTTTCTTTGATCTATATGTGGTTTCAATCTACTACGTGGGTGTGGCAAATGAAGCAAGTTAGACTTAAAACATTTGACATTTGTTTAGTGTTTTTTTTCTCATCTTGAATTTGACACTGTTTTTAATGAATTGCAGACTCATGCACTTGCTGAGTATATAGCTCAGGTGAGAATTCCTTTCAATCTCCTTCCTTTTGTTTGCATAGTTGTGTAAATTTGGTCAGTGACTAGTATGATTTTGGAACTAATTACTGATCTTGACTGTAAAGAGAGTTTACAGTTTCTTTTCAGTGACATACAACCAATGCCATCAAGTTACCAATGATACCAGAATTCAATCTTTTTTGTCTTTTTAATATCTCTGTTTTGTATGTCAATTTTCCCCCCTCATCTTTTGGGAATTTCGCTGATTGCAGGAGGAGATGGATCGAAAAACTGGGTATTGGTGGTCACTAGATAGCAAGTTCATTGCATTTACGGAGGTTGATTATTCTGAGATACCTCTTTTTAGAATTATGCATCAAGGTAAAAGCTCAGTTGGTCCAGAGGCAGAGGAAGACCATGCATATCCTTTTGCAGGAGCTTCAAACGTCAAAGTTCGCCTTGGGGTGGTTTCCACTGCTGGTGCTCCTGTCACTTGGATGGATCTTTTCTGTGGGGGATCAAACTACGAGGACGAATATTTGGCCAGAGTCAACTGGATGCATGGAAATGTTCTTACAGCACAAGTCTTGAATAGGTCTCACTCCAAATTAAAGATCCTTAAGTTTGATATCAAGACCGGCCAAAAATATGTTGTCATGGTCGAAGAACTAAAACCTTGGATTAATCTGCATGACTGCTTTACACCTCTGGACAAAGGAGTCACCAGATATTCTGGGGGGTTCATCTGGGCAAGTGAAAGAACAGGATACAGACATCTTTATCTGCATGATGCTAATGGGACTTGCTTAGGACCCATTACAGATGGTGACTGGATGGTTGAACAAATTGCTGGTATAAATGAGGCTGCAGGGCTTGTGTATTTCACTGGAACTCTTGATGGACCTTTGGAATCGCACCTTTATTATACTAGACTATGCCCAGATGAAAATTCTACTTTGCAAGCTCCCGTCAGATTGACTCATGGCAAGGGAAAACATGTGGTTGTGCTTGATCACCACATGCGGAAGTTTGTTGATATTTATGATTCTCTTAATTCTCCCCCTAGAGTTTTGCTTTGCAACTTGATTGATGGAAGTGTAATAATATCTCTTTATGAGCAACCATTCACCATTCCCAGGCTTAAAAGGCTTCAACTTGAGCCTCCAGAGATAGTTCAGATACAGGCAAATGATGGTACCATGCTATATGGGGCTTTATATAAGCCTGATGCTGCAAGATTTGGTCCTCCACCGTACAAAACCTTGATCAGTGTGTATGGTGGTCCTAGTGTACAGCTTGTATGTGATTCATGGATAAATACAGTTGACATGAGAGCGCAATACTTGAGGAGCAAAGGCATTTTAGTTTGGAAGGTTGGCATTTCCTGCCTTGACAGCTTATGTACCTGATCATTTTTTTTTCCTTAAAGGAAATTTAAATTCCTAATACGCTATTCTAGATTAGGATATTCATTTGTTTGAAGTTTACCGCACTTATGCAAGTTCATGACCCAAACATGATGTCATGTTTCAAACTGCTCATGAAGATCATTATTACATCTTCTGTGTCTTTCTACTTCCTCATCTGACATATGCTCTTTGCAGTTAGATAATAGAGGAACAGCTAGACGGGGACTGAAGTTTGAAGGCTGTCTCAAAAACAACATTGGCCGTGTTGATGCTGAGGATCAGCTTACTGGAGCTGAATGGCTAATTAAAAAAGGGCTAGCAAAAGCTGGCCATATTGGGTTGTATGGTTGGAGCTATGGTGGTTATCTCTCGGCTGTGACCTTGGCTAGGTTTCCTGATGTCTTTCAATGCGCTGTCTCTGGTGCTCCTGTTACATCATGGGATGGATATGACACATTTTACACCGAGAAGTACATGGGATTGCCTTCTGAGGATGCTGAAAGTTATGAGTATGGCTCTGTGATGCACCATGTGAATACGATGAAAGGAAGGCTCCTATTGGTACACGGCATGATTGACGAAAATGTACATTTTAGGCACACGGCGAGGCTTATTAATGCTCTTGTGGCAGCTAGAAAGTTGTATGAGCTGTTGATTTTTCCAGATGAACGTCACATGCCACGCCGTCACAGAGACCGAATTTATATGGAAGAGAGGATATGGGAATTCATAGAGAGGAGCTTGTGAGGTAACTTCTTGTTCATACATCATCTATAGTGTTGTTTGTCAGGAAAGAGAATACTGTGGGGTTCATTTCTCTTCTTAAGAGAGTTAGATTTGTCTACCCTCTTTTGAAATTTTATAAAAATCTGGGAAAACATCTCATGTATTTTTTATTTTTTAAAAAAATTTCAATTTCATAATCTAGCCAATCAATCTTTACATAGAGCAAAGTAGACGCTGGTACTCTGCCAATTGCTATGTATTGATGAAGATCCAGTAAGTGTGACTGATGCTTTCTATTGAAAGGGAAAATATAGAGTTCAGAGAGAGTGGAGTTGAATATCTTGCAGGGGCCCAACTTCATCATTTCAGTCAACATAGCTACAGAGGTATTTAGGAAGGAGGGTAGCATGGCCAAGTTCTGATCAACGCATGAAATGGGTGGCAATGACTTAGCACTAGCTATGTTTTGTCTAGTCGCTGAGTGGAGGAGAAGCATAAGATACTATAATAGGTGCAGCATAAGATACATTGGAATGCTTTCTGTTCATGCTTGCCCACACGCCTCTCTCATTGCATAGACTTGCAACTTCCCATTAAGTTGATTTTATTATCTATTTTGTAGCTTCAAACATACAAGTCTATTGCTAATCTATATACAATTTCCTTTCATCTTTGTCTCGAACTGTACGAGGGGACGAGAGGGGAGTGCCGAGTGCGGCACACAAATTATCAACAAATTAGAATGAAATTTCTTGTTAATTTCATGCACATACTGGCAGCAACATCTTTTTGACCTTTTTAATTAAAAAAAAAAAAAAGAAAAATTCAAACTCTGCTATTTGAACGATGAGGTTATGTGCTAATGACATGGCAGGGAGCTGTTGGCTCGCATACGAAAACATGATACAACTTTTGCCCCTTCTTCTGGTTTTGACGTGGGAGCAATCGATCGGTCCCACTCAAATGTGCACATATCGTGGCCTTCACACCAGATCCTATGAAGAAACATAATTACCGAAACGCCCTTCCACAGTTACTAAGAAATTTGAAATTTTTTCTAGCCAGGTACAAATACAATTATAAAAAAGAAAAAAATAATAATTTACTTAATGGTATAAAAAATTAACTGCCTAGAAAATGGCTATATATATATGATATTTAACATCAATTAGAAAAATACTTTTACATGAAACAATCCAGAGTTGCCTAATAAGTAGAAATAGGACCTGTGCAACACAGGCCAACACAGTGTCTCAGATTAAGGGTAATTCAGTCTTTCAGCATATGTGATTACAAAACCCCGTAAATTAGTCAGTAACTCGTCCGAAACTAGCGTGAAAATACGTTATGTCCGACACGATAAATAGACCGGCGGATTTAATTCAGTCACTCTAAAACCCCACTCTGTCTTCACTCTCTCTCTCTCTCTCTCTCACTCAAGAGTTCAGACTCTGAGAAAAGGAAGAGTCGTAGAAATTACTTTCAGAAAACTTTTTGAAAGGAAAACTAATAGTAATTGAAAAGAAAGAAAGAAAGAAACAATCAATGACGCGGCTTTTCTTTAATTTCTCTTTCATTTCTAATTCACCATTTCTGTACCAGCATTTGTTTTAATCTTCCATTTTCTCTTCTTCAGGTACGAATACGATCATCATTTTTTTTTTTTAAATTTCGTATCGTTGATTCAGTCCCCTTTGGTTACTTAATTTTTCTGTTTTGTGTTTTGCATTTCGTTATTGAGCTTTTTTTTACGATATGATGATGCCTTATTTATTTAATTTTTAATTTTTTATGTTTCAAAATGGTTTATTTTTTGCTTCAAGTGTTTCAGATTGTTTGATTTATAAGGAGATCGGATAGAAAATTTGAAAAATCATGATTTTCTTTGCGAGATTTAATGTTGTAGACATTTTCTCTTTGGTTACTGAGAATTGTGAGCGAGAATTATAGAATATCCAAGGTTCCTTTTTCCTTTTTTTTTTTAGTATAATTAGGTTTTGTATGTTAGTATCTAACAGAGTATATCAGGAATGGATGCTTTTATTAACTTTATTTTTTTTATGTAGTAGTTATTATTTGTTTGGAAATAAGAAAATCTGAATAAATTTTTTTAAAAAAAATCAGAATAGCAGAGTATGAAATTTAAAGTCTTAATTTTATTATTTTTTAGAGGTATTATTATCATTATTGGTTTTGACAAGAGAATAGAGTGAAGAAATTAAAGGAATCAATGTTTTCTTATTTTGAAGAAAAAGAATCTCCTTTGGTTTCTTTTGTACTGAGATTAATGTTTGATTCTCTAATTCTGGATGTTTATATTAGTGTTTTACTTTTGTTTTGATCTATCGGTAATCAAATGCTGGCTGATGTTTTTTGTGATATCTGATTACATCTTTATTTGGTGTATTGTAGGGAGTTTGCATTTGAAATTGCAGTGAAGGTCTTGGACTGTCTTTATATTCCAAAGAAACTGGGGAGTGAAATAGATCCTTAGCTCTTCTTCTATCCTTGGAATAAACTTGGACTTCTTTGGATCCTTACTATGAGATCTGACTGTTTCTGGCTAAAGGTTTTTTCGAATTTATCTGCTGCATTGTTCGAGGATTTTTAATGGAATTTGGTTTTTCGAAGTGCCTAGTTTCATAGAACTTTCTATAGGGTAGACAATGTCAATTGCCAGTGTAGCTTTAAGCCCAGTAATTGAAGAGTCTCTGAGTTTCCCTGGAAATTTTGTGCACCGATATGTTCAGACTTTGAGTGACTCGATCTTAATTTTTCTCTCTGTTGGAGGGTCTGTCATTCCTATGCGTGTAATGGAGTCAGATTCAATTGCTTCTGTGAAGCTGAGGATTCAGAATTCAAAAGGCTTTTTTATGAGGAAGCAGAAGCTAGTTTTTCAAGGGAGAGAACTGGCTCGGAATAATTCTCTTGTCCGGGACTATGGTGTTGCTGATGGGAATGTATTGCATCTGGTGTTAAGGCTTTCAGATCTCCAAGCAATCACTGTTAGGACTGTATGTGGTAAGGAGTTTGGGTTTCATATTGCGAGGGGTAGAAATATGGGTTATGTGAAGCAGCAAATTGCTAAGAAGGGAAAAGGATTTCTTAATCTCAAGGATCAAGAACTGGTATGCAACGGTGAGGAGCTTGAAGATCAGAGACTAATTACTGATATCTGCAAAAATAATGATGCTGTGATTCACTTGCTGGTTCGAAAGTCTGTTAAATTAAGGGCTGTACCTATTGAAAAAGATATTGAAGTTTCTATTGAGGAACTGAACTTGAATGAGGGGAAACCAGATGCAGTGGGACAATATCAGGGTGTCACACTCTGTCAGGAACATCGGGTCATGGAGAGGAAGCTGTTGCAGAGAGATTTCATTTTGGAGCCGCTGGTTGTTAATTCCAAGATTGAATTGCCATTAGTTATTAAGGAACTAATTGACTTAACTTTTGATGGATTAGAGAGAGGCAATAAGCCTATTCGGTCATCAGAGGGGTCAGGTGGAGCTTACTTCATGCAAGATTCATCTGGTCAGAAGTATATCTCAGTTTTCAAGCCTATTGATGAAGAGCCAATGGCTGTAAATAACCCACAGGGCCTCCCCTTGTCACTAGATGGCGAAGGGTTGAAGAAAGGCACACGTGTAGGACAAGGTGCACTGAGGGAAGTTGCAGCTTACTTGTTGGATCATCCGATGGCTGGACCTCATTCATTTGATAGCGGAGGAAAGGGGTTTGCTGGGGTTCCTCCTACAGTGATGGTTAAATGTTTGCATAAAGGATTTAATTATCCAGAAGGTTATGAGTATGATTCCAAGAACATTAAGATTGGGTCACTGCAGATGTTTGTTAACAATGTTGGAAGTTGTGAAGATATGGGCCCTCGTGCGTTCCCAGTGGATGAGGTGCACAAGATCTCTGTGTTGGACATAAGGTTGGCAAATGCAGATAGACATGCTGGAAACATACTGGTTACAAGAAATTGCAAGGAAGGTCGGGTTTCTCTTGTTCCTATTGATCATGGCTACTGCCTACCTGAGAGTGTAAGAGTCTAACTTGCTTATTTCTTTAGTTGGCAGGATTTTGTTAGAGTTTTATTCCCTGCAGAGAATTGATTGCTCACCTCATTCTCCATGTTTCAAATTTATTGCTTTGCAGCAAGCATTTTACATTTTAACGTTCAAAGACAAAGTGCAACAATTAAGTCTGTGACTTCATGTTAAGAAAGAAATTGCTTGTTGCCTTTCTCCTAATTCTTGTGTTTGCCACATACACAGTTATAGTCATAAATTTCAAAAGGAGTTTCTAGTTTAGCTGTCTGGTGATCTAATGTCCATAAAACATAAAACGGTTATAGTTATGCAAATGCGTGGCTTTCATGTTGTTGAACATGTCATCACTTGAACTTGTGGTTCTATATTGAAGTTGCAAGAAATCTAGCTTTCCAAATGAAAAAGCTGTTTTGCAACCCAAATTTTGTCTGAAAAAATAGCAATTTTTTGTCAATTTCTTCTTCACTCAGAAATTCTTGAGATTTGTCAACCGTTCCTAGTTTGTATCAACTCTTATTGCGAGAGATTAGAGCTTCTTTAGCATTCATTTTCATCACCTTATGATTGCTCTCCTCATTGCTGCAGTTTGAAGATTGTACATTTGATTGGCTTTACTGGCCTCAAGCTCATGAACCTTATAGCCCTGGTGTCGTCAATTATATTAAGTCACTGGATGCTGAACAAGACATTGAACTTTTGAAGTTTCATGGTTGGGACATGCCACCTAAGTGTGCCCGCACCCTTTGCATTTCCACCATGCTTCTAAAGAAAGGTGCAGAGAGAGGACTCACACCCTATGTTATTGGAAGAATCATGTGCAGGGAAACACTGAAAGAGGAGTCAGTAATTGAGCAGATTGTTAGAGAAGCTGAGGAAGCTGTGCTTCGTGGAATGAGTGATGATGCATTTTTTGAAGCTGTGGCATCAATCATGGATCAGCATCTTGACGAACTGACCTCATAAGCCCTGAGGTGACTGGTTAGGTAGCTTTGCACATCTGCATTTGCCACATTGCAGAGTTATCGCTGAAGGATGATGGTACTCCATATTTTTGTTAAATGGTCTGCATAAGTTCTGTGTAATATTGGGTTGTTGCTGGAACTTGTGTCTCCATCATCTGTTTCATTTTGTTCATACATGTAACTTCCCTTTGCAGCCCATCTTTGAACCATAGTCTATTACCTGGAAATGCCTTAAGGCAATGTATCCAAGAAGAGAGTGTATTCTGGAGATTTTAGTTGTTTGGTTATAGCTATGTGAATAATAGTAAACACACTCTCTTATTCTTTTCTTTTTTATCTTTTCATTTATTCTCTTTATTTAGTCCCCGCCCCAATAGTTCAAATATTTGGAGTTGGCTTCTCCTTGACCCTTACTACTCAATTTTTGTGCCCAAAATAGAATGGGCGCTTACTACCCTGAGTTTCAGCAGCATTCCATATCTGGTTAGCACAATACTTTGAAATGGTGTTCATTGTTATTATTATTTCGTATGAGCAATTCCAGACTTCCAGTGGTAGTTCATTTGCTTGGAGGGTTCAGATGATGGTCTCCAGCCTATCTAGGGTCTATCTCCAGATTCACCCATCTCCTAAGGCTCTTCTGGAAGACCTTGGGGCTGCTGCTCTGCCCTTGCCAGAGACTGTCTGAGAAGCGATGTAACTACTACAACTGGATTAGACGCTGTTATAGTTGAAAGCTGGTATTACGATTTTGGATGATACGATAACTGAGAGATCGGTCATGTGACATAAGACGAGGCCTGGTTGCGCCAAGGACGCCATCTAGAATCAAAATTATTCCACAACCAAGGGTGGAGAGTCGAACAAAAAGAGATATTTAATAGTTAAAAAGAGAATTTTATATATAATTTAATTATTATTTATTTAAAAAATTAAATAAAATTTAAAAATATTAAATATAAAAAATATATATTATTAGTAATGAGGGTGTCATTTATATATATAATTAAATAAAACAATAAAATGAGTTATTTTTTTACTTTGTATGTCTTAACTCTATTCTTATTTTTTTATTTATCTCTTAAATTACTAATTAACATATTAAGTTATTGAATTGAACCATTGAGATATAATATACTTTGATAAACTATTAGGTTTAAACTGTTAAGATATAATATATTATAATAAAATAGACTTATATTAAAATTTAATGAATTTGAATTAGTAGTTTTACTCTCTCTTTTTTGTAAATTTTATAGGCTTAACATAGTAGTTTAAGATTTATTTGTTGAGCTTTACTAGTAGTATACTCAACATAATGATTTCAATTTTATCAAACAGTTTGAAGAATAAAATTAATTATTAAATTTAAAAAATGATTTTGAAAGCTATTAAAAATAAATATAATAAATAAAATTATATTAAAAATATAATTATTTTATTCTATTAATTTATATGTATACCCTTTTTACTTAAAGTTTATAACATATATATTGAGATATATTAGTTATTTTAAATAAAAAATACTATATTGATAAAATTTTATGAAACAGTACAACATTGTAATTTATATTTAAAAATTATATAAAAATTTATTTATTTTTAAAAATTTAAATTATAAAAAATAAAATTCACAAAAAAAAAAAACATGACAAGTAAAAAATAAAATTCACATATGACATAATAAAAAAGAAAAGAAAATATGATTGATGGATTATATAAATTTATGAAAGAAAACTTATACAAATATAAAACATATAAATAAAATTATAAATTAAAAAAATTTAAAATTGAATAGGAATATAAAATTATTTTATTATTTTATTTGTATTAATTATTAGATAAAAATTTATTTTAAGAGTTTATTACAAAAATGTATAAAAAAATTTTAAAAATTTATTTAATATGTAAAAAAATTTTAAAATTTTGTGAGGCCATGGCCCCGCCCCGCACCCCCAATTCCACAAGGAGGCTCCTCCCCTGACAACAGCTGGCTTCGCACCCATCGCTTTTTAGCTGCACTTTTGCTGCCTAACTCCAGTCTTGTACGCAGCCAAACTTGCTTTTTTATTTGTCCCCTCAACAAAAGAACAAAATACTCTGTGAAAAGTAGCTGGATGCAGTGTTGCAAAAAACGATGGACACTTACCCCATTGAGCCTGGCATTCATCAAAACCAGGGTGGATAAAGTTTATTGGCATTTCCTCTGCCGATCTACAGGTGAAAGTCGAATTAGAACTCATTTATTGGCAACTAGTTACAGGCATTCGGGTAGTTTCCAGCCACATGTCTAGAATGGGACCCAGGTGCAGAAGGCCACAGCTGGTCTAGGATGGACCCAGGTGCAGTGGGGCAATATCGTTTTAAATTCCGGGTGCACGAACCTGTGGGTCGAGCTCAACGCCCATGGGCTTGCTTTAATGACCAACAAATCAACAATGGAGTGGCTCCACATTTATTTCTTGTAAGTCAGTCACTCACCGTCACCGACACCAATAATTTTAAAATAAACCTGAGCCACACATACACAGTAAAGATGCGGCAACAACAACCCACCAAGGCGACAAAACAGTCCAAACGAAGAACAATATGCAACATCATTTCCTTATTACAACACCATTTTGACTGCGTATGGAATTTATAATTACAAAATTTTAAAAAAAGGTAATATAGTAGCATCAGTAGTAGTAATTCTTAAGCCTCTAGGCTTCTATAACATGTTTGGAGTTAAATCAAAGAGAACAGGCGAGCCTTATTACCATATCATGAAAAAAATTAGAAAGATAAAAACTATATTTCATACAATTAAACACTAAAAAAGAAAAAGAAAAAGGGGTAAGAAATACTTAAAATTTTAAACTTGTAGGCCAGCCAAGAAAGCAACCCCAGTTGACGGTAACCATGCCGATCCATAAATAAACTGTCCCACGGTGAATTTGCCTGCTTCAATCTCTGAAGTGATGACCCTAAACCCGGGCCATCTGACCCGTTGCCCAACTGCCGCGCCCGGCCCATAATTCATGTATTCGCCATAGTATAGTGTATCTAAGGCAAACGTAGCATTCCACTCCAGCCATCCCCTAGGGTGAATGTGGTCACTCATGTACGATAACATGAACACAGTCCTGGAGTACAACTTCCACGGACGTCCTAGATAAGTCTGGAAGCTTCCGTTGGCTGCCGCGAGGTCCTGCGTGGGTAGGATCCGACACGCATGGATGGAAATACCCGTGTTTTGGTTGGGGTCCTTTCGGTTTTGGGCCGTGATGGTGTTCTTCTGGAGGGGCATGGGCTTCCGGGCGTAAATGGTACAGTTTTGGAGTACCACAGCGGCATTACCGAAGATGAAATCCACCGTCCCGTATATGTCACATTCGCGGTAAAACTGGCGATTGGAGTGAGTGTATAAGGTGTCTTGGTATCCAATGACGTTGCACCTGTAGACCACGGCATGGTCTGCCCCAATGCGAAGTGCCACCGCCTGGTGCTTGGCTGGTCCGGCCCAGTTCTCAAATGTCATGTCCCTTGCAATAAAACCAGTTCCAGTTGCCGCTGAAAAAAGAAAACATTAAACTACCGATGAATACTTCCTCAGAAAATGATGCAAACATGATATCCCATTAGTATTAATTAATGTTCGATCAGGATGGGATTATTAAACTAAAAAGTGCTGATTATTTAACAATGATACTATGCAAATTCGCGAGAGGGGATAAGCCATGACCCACCTCGAATAATGTCACTCTTTCAGCTCTAGATTGTAGCCACATATCCAGTTTTGGACTATATGAGGAATTACATCACTCCGATTATTCCCAATGAGCTTCAGGCTCAATACTAATTTAGTGGCAAATCAACAAAACATAGCTTAAGCAATGTTATTATTCCAATCAATCATTTCCCAACGATTTCCTTCAACAACAAAAAAAAAAACTCTTCTGTTTTCGGGCATTTTAGAAGGGTAATTTTAATTTCCATGCTATGGACGGAGAAGTAAGCAGATACCGGATAAGATGAAGTTGCTTTGGCTTTCTGTAATAACAGCCCACGTGCAACTTCTTAACATTCATGCCATGGTGAATGGTTTGGGGTCCAATGGTTTTTCTTAAGGAGTTTTATTTGTAGTAAAATAATAATAATATTATATATATATATTCACCGACTCTAGCGTAAGAAAAACAAACTTACCGAAGGCTGCAGTGTGGAATGTCGTCATGTTGTCAAATACACTTTTTCCTCCGGTAATCACTGTTTTACCCTTGCCGTCTCCTATGAACATCAAGTTGATCTTCTTCCTCCCCACCTTCAAATTACTCTCTTCGTACCTGTCAATGAGCAGTAATAAAGTAATTTAACTTTTTCCATTTCCACACAGCTGCAATTTCCAAGTCAATTTTTAATTTACTTTCCGAGAAAATGTTTAAAGAACAAGTAAAAAGAAAATTTTCCCAAAAGTATTCCACTAAATGCCAACCCACCCAATGACCCTAACCAAAAAACCATTTCACGTGAATAATATTATCATATTCACATGATTGATACTAATATATTTTTATTATGATTATATTGCGAAGGTCAAAAATTGCCATCATTAATTAGATTAAAAGGGTTCGGTAACGAACCGCAAAGAATGCAATACTTCAAGGCTACTTTCGTCATTTTACGTTATAAAAGGCTGGTAGCCAAAATGGGAGGGAAAATATATATGGAAAAGTGATTTCAGAAAAGGCCACGGGGGAAAAAGCTGTCGCCAGCAAAACTTGGATCTTTATTATCACCGCAATTTTACCTTCCTGCCCTCACGTAAATGATGATCCGCCGAGTACTATGCTCCGGCGCCCTCTTAATCGCCTCGGTAATCGTCTTAACGGTGCCGTTTCCGTCTTTCGAAACGATGATGTCTGCCTGGATCGTCGACACGGGAGCGTTCAGCAGCTCCCTCTCTTTCCTCCCCAGCCATTTCGGGAAATGCTCGTCATCGATATTTTCTCCCGATATGTCGTCATCCGTAGCCAACAATCTCCTGTTCTGTATCGGCACTCCGGCGAAATCGTCTCCGCCACTCGCAGCGAAAATCGACAAGCAGTTGCTCACGAGTTCGGACAAGTCCTTCATTTTCTCTGCCACTTGATCCTTCACCGCCCCGCTCACTCCCTCGAATCCCTCCGAACACGTGTCCTGGTTTGTCAACGCTGCCGCTAAGCCACGTCATCACGTCCTGATTTGTCCCGGCTTTAACATTATTATTATTAGCATTGCCGTCCTCAGAAGGGACGACGGAGAAGAGGGAACGGGAGAGGGCGTCGATGGAATCTTCAAGAAGCTCGAGGCAGTCGTCGTATGCCGACCGTACGCGT